CCATCTCAGCACTGCATAAACAAAGAAATACAAAGCCCCAAAACCTCTGAGGTTTGTAGCAAGCAATATCAGGAGAGTTCTGTCTCTCAAGAAGAAAGAACAACAAAAAGTTATGCCTTCCCAAGTAATTTTATGTTAAACAGAACTCAAAAACCTTGGGGTGCTTACAAGTTCCTTAGAATAATGATACAGGAAATGATTGTTCCTGACAGAGCGTTAGTTGTGTGCATGCATGTGCCCATGAATGTGACTGACATTCATTGTGACAATCAAGATGCCTCGCCTGTCCTTTGTCAGATAATGGTTCTCTCTGATGCTGAGCCACTGCCTGGGGAGCTGGAAGTCCAGTAGGGCAGGCTTAGTGACACACGTACTCAGCATGCCTGAGGAGTGTCTGAAGCAATACAGAGTGAGGGCTTTTGCTTTTTGATTCTTTCTGTCAGCCCAATTCTGTCTTTACTTTAAGCTCATATTCAGCAGCCAGTGAGGCCCCTGCACAGGCCTCCAGCCACTCAATTCCTGCTTGCTAAGTGGCTTCATCACACCCAGTCTGTGGTCGTATGAATGTTGTGTGAGGGCATCCCCTTTCCCTTCTTTTCCCAGTGCTTTACAGAAATATGGGGGTCTGAGTGGGCTCTTCTGGGTGCTGGGGATGGGATCTCAGTGTGAGGTACTGGGGATTGCACCTGGGGTCTTGTGCATGCTAGACAGACGCTCTTCTGTTGAGCTATATCCTCAGCCTGCACAGTGGTTTTGATGACAGACTTTCTTGCTTGCTATGACCAGCACAGCCCAGTTGCAGATTAGAATGCACTTTCAAATAATTTTTCCCAACTGACAGACCCAGAATTCATTAGAATGGGCTGTGAGCAAACTCAAGCTCAGAGAGTTACAAGGCCCGGGGGAAGCCAAGAAGGCAGGACGAGCAGGCCCAGCCCCTGTGTGCTGTATCCAACTGCGAGCTGTCTGCACACAGGCCTGTGGAGGCGGTGGGAGTTGTTGACTGGGTTTTGTTTTGGAATATGCCCCTGTCTTAGGGTGAGACAGAAAAATGAAACATCCTAACCTCACACTGTCAGTGTGTTTTAGTTCATGAGGTCAATGTTGGCTCCTACTGTCTATTTCCTAAGACAGCATTATAGGCTGAATCACATCTCCCCAAAATTTATACACTGAAATCTTAACACCAGTACCTCACACTGTGACTGTATTTGGATACAGGGTCTTTTGGAGATGATTCAAGTTCAAATGAGCTTCTATAGGGGTGGGCCCTAACCACTAAAGCTGATGTCCTTATAAGAAGAGGAAATTTGGGGCTGGAGAGATGGCTCAGTGGTTAAGAGCACTGACTGCCAGGTTCGATTCCCAACACCCACATGGCGGCTATGAACCATCTTTAACTCCAGTTCCAGGGGAATCTGAAGCCCTCTTCTGACCTCAGCGGCATTGTACGACACGGGTGCACTCACATACAAGCAGGCAATATACTCATACACATAAAATAAAAATAATAAATAAAATATATAAAAAAAGAAGAGGAAATTTGGACACGTGCAGAGGTAAGAGCGTGCAAAGACAGGAAGGAGACCTCAGGAGAGCTAAGCCAGACAGGCAGCCCCAAGGAGAAATGGCTCTGTCCATACCTTATCGTAACTTTTGGCCTCCATATCTGTGAGAAATCTTTCTGTAGTTTAAGTCACCCAATCTGTGATACTCTGTAGTGGCAGCCCTTGCAGACTGAACAACTTGCCTTAACTTTGTGTTACATATTCTGAATGTTTCCTAAAGCCATGGGGACCAGAGCACATCTTCCACTGTCTTTTGGTACATGCACATTGACTTCACTGAGAACATATAGGGACGTCCAAAGGGAGGTGCCTGTTGGAGCCTCGAGACTTGCCTTCTTGTGAGCCTGCTGACCAATGCCCCATGGTGCGGAGTTCCGCTTGTTTATCTTCACGCTCACCTGGTCTGCACTATGCCCTCTGCATTAACTTTAAGGAAACGTCCCCAGCTTCTGCAATGTTGCCTTGTGGCAGTGCTGCAGTGCAGACAGAACCATCCGTGGCCTTCACTCACATCCCCAGCATTACGGCCCCTTCTCTGCTTTCCCTGCCATCTCAGCATGGGACATCCTCTCTAACTTCTGGGAGGGCTTGTCTGGGTGCTGGGGATGGGAGCCCAGTGCAATATGATCCCTCCCCCCAGTAGCTATCACAGGAGGGAAGATTGTTAAAAATCACAAGCAGTTTCTGCACGTCACTCCAGTTCTGGAGGTGTCCCGTCTGGGGTGTTGAGAGGGCCCGCTGCTATCATTACCTCAAAAAAGGCCCACGTGTCGTTTGGACTTTTAACATTCCTTCATAGTGTTGCTGTAATCACTTCCTTTTTGGTTTTCCTGTCCATCCATCCTCATGCTGCCTGTTTATTGGACTTCATAATGAGACTTTCATTGCATTTAACGCCTTGATTAAACAAATGTCTTTATTTCATATCTTTATTGTACAAACTATGTGCCTGGCTCATAGTAAAGTATATCTGTATCTATCCCTCATCATAACCCTATGCAGGATTATAATCCCTACTCTGCAGCTGAGCACAAGCAAGCTTGCGACAGGAAGCCAGGCACTGTGGCTCCGGAGTCCAAGGTGTGTTACCCTATGTTGTGCTGCACTTTGGCAGGCTGTCTCCAGTGCTGCCACCCCACGGCCCAAGGCCCTCTGCTCACTTGGACCTCACCTTTTCTCTGAGACAAGGCCTCAACCTACTTTACCAGGTCCTCCTGCCTCTAAATATTTGCCATCTACCAGGTCTCAAAGGATGTCCAGAGTCACCTGCCGATCTTGAGTCCTGTCTGACTTGCATTCAAACCTTGGCCCATGTTCTACCTGAGGCATGCTCCCTTGAAAGCTGCCGGTCCCATGCCCTGTCTCTGATGTGCCTTCCTCCCCTGCAGCTGTGCATTCTTTTCTGAAACTTCTCCTTGAAGACTCCCTTTTGGCTTCCAGGGCTCTGTCCATCCGTTAAGCCAAATGCCACTAGTTTCAGGCAGCCTTTTCTCATCTGTCCAGCTCTTCCTTCCCGCAGGATAATGTTCACGCTCTATACCTGGCTTTTACTCTATGTTGTTGCCATGCTTGTCACCAATAAGCAGACAACTTAAGGCTAAATGTTCATCTCCCTCACACAACTAACTACTGCAGTTCCTGTGACAGAGAAATGTTCCTTCAAACAGTGTCGAGTGACTACTGTTACCCTAGGATAGCCACATTTAAAGTGAAGTGCATTGACATGAAGAGATTACAGAATGATTACATAAAAAATTTAACAAAAAGTTCAAAGCATAACTTTTAATGGGGCAAATGGCTTGAAAACATTTCATTGTTTTGTCTCATACGACCAAGACACCTGTGTTGTGCCTCCTTATGGCTCACTGTCCCTTCAGGTAAATCCTGTTGCTCACATCAAAGTTATGTTCTGGGCAGACCTGTTATCAAGTGTTCAGCACTGAATTCACTCCTGCATGGCCTGACTTCCCCGTGATAGGACAGGATCTCTCTGAGTGCAGCCTTTTCAAGCTCCTTGGGTTAAGGACCTGTACTCCTTAACCTGGCTCCCGCAGAGAGCTTGTGGTCAACTCACACCTCATTTCCTTACTTGAACTGCTATGGATCAGACTTCCTGTGGCAGCATTTAATCAGAGATTATATTATTCATGGACTGTGTCGTTTCAAACGAACATATAACTATTGTGCATCTTTAAACACAGCTGCCTCAGATGATTTTTTGAGCAACCAGCATCTGATGTGCTACATTGGAATCCAATATAACACTAATGCTAAAGGTCTTCATCCTTCGAGCTGTCATGGAATGGGTCTACATCCCTCCTCCAAGACAGCAAGGGACTGTCAAAGACTCACTGGGTAGCAAAAATTGACCTGAATAGGCTGTGTTCATTTCACCTACTGTGAATATTCAGGTAGATTTTTTTTCCTGCAGAAATGTTTTACATGTTCACTAAGGTTTTTACCAGGAAATATTTAGTGTATTCATTCTATTAGCCTAAAAAAAATCTGATTTAAAATATACCTGACCCTAAGAGAAGCAGATAAATGATAAAGTTGGGAGCACACATCTTTAATTTCAGCATTCCAGAGGCAGAGGCAGGCAGACCTCTGTGAGATCGAGGTAGCCTGGTCTCCACATTGAGTTCAGGTCTGCTGGGGCTATAGGACGGCCCTGTCAAAACAACAACAACAAAAAACCCAACAAAATAAATAATAAGACTAAACATAAATAAAATTCGCCGATGATAATTTCCTGCTTTGGGACATGGCATCCACTTTTGGTGCTGCAGATAAGGCCATTTTTGATTTAATTATGAATTAAGATTGCACTTTGACCTATCTAGATCATTTCTTTTTAAAATATTTATTATTTTTATTGATGTATATGAGTGTATTGCCTGCATGTAGGTAAGTGCACCCATGTTGTGCCTGTGGAGGACAGAAGAGGCCATCAGATTCCCTGGAATTTGAGTTATGGACAGTTGTTAGCTGCCATGTGGGTGTGGGATTCAAACCCTGGTCTTCTGCAAGAACAACAAGTGTTCTTAACTGCTGAGCCATCTCTCCAGGCCCCCTATCTGTATTATTTCTAATGTCTTTCCAACAACATATATACGGATGCCACGAGCTTGCTTGTCATTTCCATATTCAAGAGAAATATGATCACACTTTGGCCGTTCTTGGAACTCTGTGACATTCTGACATGAAGTATTTAGCGTCATAAGAACACAGGACATTAGGCTGGTGAGATTGCTTAGTGGGTTAAGGGTACTTGCTCCCTGATGATGCAAGTCTGCCTGGATTCAATCTCAGGATCCTACGGAAAGGTAGAAGGGGAGAACCACCACCACAAAGTTGTCATCTGACTTCAATACATGCTAGTCTCTAGGGCACTTGCGTGCACACACATACATACATACACACACAAGCAAATTAAAAACACAGGAAAATTTAATTGGAAGGCTTTCCATATGTTAGTCTAGAACTTGCTAAATAAAATGTTATCAGTTTTAATACATTCTCATAAAATGGACCAAAAATTATCAAAACATTTTATTCAAGTTATAGTCCCCACAAATTGTGTTTAACAGTGTAATGATTAATTCTGCATGACATCTTTTTTTCTTTTTCCTTGAGACAGTCTTGCTACGTAGCCCAGGCTAGACTTGAATGTGAGACAAGTGTATATCACCACTCCATGTTTGCATGACTTTTGTCTGCACAAAAAATTACTCAAGGAAGTTTCTGCTCACATGTATGTGGACTTCAGGGGAGCAGTTACTCTGAAGGTTTGAATTCCTCAGTTACAAAATCAGAGCTAGGCACTTTCAAGATCTTCCAGGGTTGCTGTGTGAAATAATTATTTGGAAATAATTTTTATAAAGTGCCAAAAAAAGGGAACAAAATAGAGACCTGAGTAAACAGTGGAAATATACGTATCTTTGCTTAGAATCATCATTCTCTTCTACAAAAATAGCGAGGCTCAGCATCACTTAGTCTAAAAACTTTATGTAGTAAAAATGCACTCTCCCACTGGGTAAAAGAAAACAATGAAGAAGACACTACAATAAGGCCAGAGACTCAATCTTGTCTAACTGATGCATTCGGCTGAGAAAGTGGGAAGGATTCAAAGCTGGCTGTGGAAGCTGGCAGTGAAAATTAGGACAGGTGGGGAGCATTTCATTCCGTTCAGCTGAATATATTAGAGGTGCAGTTTCCTACCGAAAGCATGTCAGCAGTTGTGGCACCTGGATGTGGTCCATGGGATCAAGGGGAAGAATAAAGGGAAAGCAGGTGCCACATACAGAATGGAAATGTGCTTGTAATTGTAATGTCTTTGCTCTTGGTGTTTCTTCTATGTCAAAAGAGAACATGGACCACTCCTTTTCCTGACTGTTTCTGTAGTAAGGAGCTTGGCTAATACACCTTTCTTAAAAAAATCCTCTCTGTGCATATGTGTGTATGTATGTCTGTATGTATATAATCTCTCTGTGTTTATGTGTGTGAGTGCAGGTGTGCACGTGTCATATCACATTGTGAGGGTCAGAGGGCAAGTGCAGATATTGATCTTCACCATCTACCTTGTTTTGAGGCAGGGTCTCTTGTTTGCTTCATCTGCCAGGCTAGCTGGGCTCTGAGCTTCTGGGGACTCTCCTGTCTCTGCCTTCCATCTCCCAGTAGAATACTGGGATTACAGATCATGATGGGCTTTTACTTGGGTTCTAGGGGTTTGAATTCAGGTCTTCAGGCTTGCATGGAAAGCCATCTGCATGGAAAGCCATCTTCCCAGCCCCCCACATGCTTTTTCCATGAAGGAAAATGTGGTAGGAAGGATCAAACACTCAGTAGAAGGGGAAATGCCAGCTGGAAAAATGGAAGCAGAATTGAGAAATAAAACAAGGCGAATACTGATGCTGAGCACATTTTTAGAGATTTTTTTTTGCTTTATGGATTCTTTGCGTGCCCATGAAATAAACTGCACAATAATGTGAGTTCTGAAATCAAAGATGAATGGGGGAGTCATAGGAAGAAAATTTGCCATTGTAAATCAAAGGACCAAATGTATACACAGTCTTTGTAAATATGGCATTTGTGAAGGAAGGACTGTAGAATACTTTGAAAGAATAATTTTTTAAATCACAGGAAACAATGATTAAAATTTTAGTGAGAATCAAAGTATTTGATCCCTTCCTCTAGGCACCTAAAGCCTAAACTAAACATACAAACTAACATTTTTAATTAATTAATTTATTTGTTTTTATTTTATGTGTATGAATGTTTTGCCTGCATGTATGTAAGTGCACCTGTATTGTGCAATGCCAGCAGAGGTCAGAAGGAAGCCTCAGATCCCCTGGAATTGGCCTTACAGAGAGCTGCCATGTGGGTGCTAGGAATTGAACTCAGGTTCTCTGCAAGAGCAGCCGGTGCTCTTAAACCCTGAGCTATCTCTCCAGTCCCCAAACTAGCATTTTAATGGGCCCTGAGTAGTCTGTTAGAAAACAAACCCAGCTATCAGCTCCTCAACTCTCCAATCTAAATGCTCCAAGGATGGAGGCAGAAACTCCACATGTTCACACCCGTGTCACCGTCTGTAATCTCTGCCAACTGGCACTTATTTTTACACTGGCAATACTTGAAAAGGTTAAACACAAGACGCGAACCTTGAGATGTTATTGGGTATATTAAAATAAAATCAAAAATAGAATTATTAGGTATATATACAACAGCATAAATGAAAAAGGTGTGACAGAAGTTTTCCATCAGAGTTTACAGTAGAAAATCAGGTAGACAAAACTCAAATCTCTTCCCAGAAGCTTCTCTTCCTTCATATCTGTGGGTATAAATAGTCTCTCACATGTCTTACACGATTTGGAAAAGATTGCTGAATCACAAAATGGCCCCCAACGGGCATGTTTTAACTCCCTATATAACAACTAAAATTAATATCTGATCCATAAAATAATGTTCAAATCATCTGAAGCAATGAAAGAAATGCTTTATGTCGTGAAAAGCCCCTGTTAGATTCTTACCGTTCCTCAGAGGGCACTGTAAAAAAGAAGTCTCAATCTAGAGAATCCTGGAACTGAAAAACCTGGGCTGTTGGAAACATTCCTCCACAAGGCAGAGTTTTTTTGAAGCTTTTCTCCCTCCCCTGGGTGGGCTGGGTGGGCCTTTTGCAGCTGGGCTCTGGGCTCCGTTCCTGTAGGGGTGCTGTGCGCGCCCTTACACGGTGCTCCTGCAGGGGGCGCGCGAGCTGCCTCCCGCCCAGCAGAACTCAGCAAGGTCTCGGAAGGAAAAACGTTTTAACAGTCTTGGATTGGGGGCAGGGGAAACAAACCTTCCCCCAAAACCCTTTAAATCTAGAAAAGACATTTTTAAGCTACTGGCTTTGCCTGTAAAAAAAAAAAAATCTAACAGGCTGGATTAGTAAATTTTTTAAAGTAAGCCAAAGCACTGAGAAAACAAAAGGAAACTTCATGCCTCTGAATGTGGTTATTTCTGCTAAGTGAGGGAAGTTCTGCTGTTACTGGGACTTGGTTGCAACAGTCTCGGAACCCCTGGGTCACTCATCCAATTGTACATAGGGCCAGGGCGGGTGTGTTACTGGAGAGGGCGGGTGTTTCCCCCTGGAAAACTGTATTCTGATATCGGTCCCACAGAGCAAATGGCCAGCTGAGGTGCAGGTCATGCTGCATCCCAGTGGTCACCCATCTAAAGGAACAGAACACTTTCCCGAGTCCAAGGTACTCTCCTGAGTAATTCGGCCTGTCCGCCAGGAGCCCGGCACACCGGGTCGCAGCACGAGATGACCCGCAGGCTGAATTTCCTGCTGAGTGAGGCAACAGGCGGTCCCCCTGCGCCTAGGGCTGCTGCTGGTACTGCCCTTCCGTAGCAGTGTAGAAATCATCTAGGACACTCTGTAAGTAGTCGAACGTCGGCCTCTCCTCTGCCTTTTCTTTCCAGCACATTTTCATGATGTCGTAGAGCTCATCCGGGCAGTTCTCCATGCGTGGCATCCGGTAGCCCTGGGACAGTGCGCTCATCACGTCAGCATTAGTCCTCCCTAAGGCCCAAAACACACAGTTTAGAAACCCAGCAGAGCACACAGCACTACAGGTTACTCATATCCTGCAACCAGGGCTGAAAAACTTCAGAGTCTACTTAGGGGTCGGGGTGTGATGATCCTAAATTCACAGCTTGGCATTCTAACCACCAGCCCCTCAGAATGGGGCTGTAATTGGAGATAAGGCCTGTAAAGAGGTGATTAAGTGAAAATGAGGCTGATGGGTGGATTCTGATCCAATGTGGCTGCTGTCTTTATAAGAAGAGATAGGATTAGGATGCAGACAGAGGACAACATAATGCCACATGGACAAGACAGCCATCTACCAGCCATGGAGAGAAACCTCAGGTGAAACCTGCTTTGCCAACTGAGGGGTTTCAGGATCTACAACCACGTGAAATTTCTGTTGCTTATGTCACCTCATGTGAAGTATTTGCTATGCTTGTCCTAGCACATTAATACAGACAAGGAATTCTGGAAGCAACTCAATACATGATGCATCCGTGTGTGTGTGTGTGTGTGTGTGTGTGTGTGTGTGTGTGTGTGTGTGAAAATGGCACCAATTTGCAAAAGCAAAACTAGGTAAATGTGGTAAGTAAAAGCCAAAGCTTTAAAAAGGACATGGGGGCTAGGGAAAGGGCTCAGTTGATAAAGTGTTTCCTCAGAAGCATGAGGACCTGAGTTCAACCCCCAGAACTGACATAAAAAGCCAGGCATGTAGTGCACTCGTGTAATCCCAGCTCTGGGGAGGTGGAGACAAGCAGATCTCAGGGGTTTGCTGGCCACTCAGTCTACTTAGCCAGTTCCAGGCCGATGAGAGACTCTGTCTAAAAAAAGGCAGACAGAAGCTGAGGAATAAATAACACCTGATGTTATCCTCTGTCCCCACAAGCATTTGCATACATGTGCACCTGCATACACATGAATATGCACACACAAACACAAATGGATATTGGACTTGACTGACCTTTTAAATTAACCATGCCAGCCCAATCTTAACCCTCAAATGCAAACATCTAAAAAAACTATTTTTATTAAAAAAAAATACCTTGCCTACATTATCTCATGCTTTAAGGCCCTCTCCCCTTCACAGACTTTTTCCTCAGGGCACAGGTACTGAAGAGCTCTGCTGACTGCTCCTGTCTTAGAGGAGCTTTAGCTATTATTATTGTTGTTGTTTTTTGAGACAGGGTCTCACTCTCTCACTGTAGCCCCAGCTGTCCTGGAACTCACTGTGTAGAGCAGGCTGGCCTTGAACTCACAGAGATCCACCTGCCTCTGCCTCCCGAGGACTGTTTACCTAGTGAATTAATTTTCATCTATTTATTAAATATCACTTTCATGTATTTGTCCAACTGACCTTTCTCACTGGAAGATTTCACTTGATTCTCCTTGATCAGACAATGAGCAGATTTGCATCACTTTATTTGAAGTTTTGGTCTCCACAAAATTATGTGATTCTGCTCTGAGGAAATGTCTGTTTTTACTTCTGCTTGAAGTTCTAGGATGCTGGTAGGGGGTAACATCCATGATGGTGTAAACAGAAACAGGTCCTACACCCTTGGTTAGGAATATCTCTTTCACTTCCTTCCCTTAAGAATCCTTGGTACATAAAAGTTCTGAGTATGCCCACAGAAGGTAAACCTTTGTGGGGTCCCCTTAGCTTCTCTGCAGATACTTTCTTCCTTGCCTCCGTATGCTCTCTTAACTTTGAAGAACATAAGACTGGCATGCTCCACCCTGTATGGGGAATTTCACTTGATAAAAGATAGAAGAAAAGAATCTGAAGTCTATCTTTTTATGCATGAGGGAACCAACAAAATAAGCCAGAAGAACACAGGAGACAAACCTCAACCAGACACTAAGATTACACTTGGTAGTTGGTACTTAGCTTGTGACTAGGCTAAAGAATGCAAATAGCAGGGGCTGGAGAGATGGCTTGGCGGTTAAGAGCACTGACTGCTCTTGCAAAGGACCCAGCACCCACATGTCTGTCCATAACCCCTTTGCAGGGGAATCTGACACCCTCTTCTAATCTCAGAGGGCATTTACATGTAGGCAATACACTCATACACATAAAATAAAAATAATAAATAAAACATTGAAAAATGTAAATACCACTGTCTGGTACCTTCTTTATAAAGCCTGCTGTTCCATGCTGCATCCTTCATTTTTTCCATAGCCCTTACTACAGTCATCATGGGTCATGAGATAGCACTAAGCTCCGAGAGATGCAGAGATGACTAAAATGAGGTGCTGGTCCAATGGGAAAGAGGCCTTCACTGGCAAAGGTGGGGGTGGGGCTATCCCTTTTGAGCAGGAAATAGCAGAAACTACAAGTTGGTAAAGGAGTACAGGAAGGAAGGAAATGTGGGAGGTCAAGGATAAGGGAGAGGACCCAGCAGTGCTGTAGAACATTATAGTCCTTCAGACACAGGGCCTTCTCCGTATTGGCAGAGAGAAAAAGGACCAGAAATATGCTTTATAAGAAGGTGAGCTGCCTTTCCTAACTGAGAAGCACTGTGGTCAAGGCAGATGTTCAGAACAGGATGGATTTTTTTTTTTTTTTAACTCTGATTCACACATGGCTAGAAAAAGCCAGAAAAGACATGATGCCTCAGAACATTGTCATTTTTAAACCTTCTCTCTCTTTATACAAGTAAAGCAAAGAACCAATCAGAGATTCCTCTTTTCATCAAACTCGTGTACAACTACACCCATAATTATGGCTTTGAGAAAGAGAATGAGGGCCTGGAGAGATTGCTCAGTGGGTAAGAGCACTGGCTGCTCTTGCAGAGGACCTGGGACCCGGGCTCAAATCCCAGCACCCACATGGTGGCTAACAACCATCCATAACTCCAGTTCCAGGGAATCCCATGCCCTCCTGACCTCCACAGGCACTGCACAGCATGGGTACACTTACACACATGCAGGCAACATAAAAAATACATAAAATATATATTTTTAAAAAAGAGCCTCCACGGACCCCACTGTGCGACTTCGGTGGCATTCGCTGACCTTTTTCTAGAACTCAGTAGGCAAGGCAGCGACTTTTCCCAAGGCAGCTGAGTTAGGCAGCAAGAACACTGAGAACAAAGCCAGCCTGGCTTTTGCAAAACATCAGGGCTTGCTGGAGAAAAAGAGAGATTACAAACTTCGTGCAGATGACTACCATAAGAAACAAGGATTCCTCAGAGCTCTCCCAAAGAAGGCTCTTGAAAAAAATCCAGATGAATTCTACGATAAAGTGACCCGGGTTACGATCTGGGATGGAATTTATATTATTATTATTATTTTTATGTGTATGCATGTATTGCCTGCATGCAGGTAAGTGTACCCGAGTCGTGCAATGCCCGCGGAGGACAGAAGAGGCTGTCGGATCCCCTGAAACTGGGGTTACGGACAGTTGTTAGCTGCCATGTGGGTGCTGGGATTTGAACCCGGGTCTTCTGCAAGAACAACCAGTGTTCTTAACCGCTGAGCCATCTCTCCAGCCCCTGGAGTTCATATTATTAAGGAGATCAAGGAAGATGTAACACCAGAGCAGCCAAAGCCGATGAGGGCTCTGGATGTCAAGTATAAAGAAATGAAAAGGGTTACAGAAGCTAAGAAAATCGAAAGATTGAAATCAGTACTCCATCTGCTGGATTTCCAGGAGGAGAACAGAATAAACATCTTCTTTTTTGACACCAAAAAGGAAGTTGAACAATTTGATATGGCAACTCATTTGCAAACAGCCCCTGAGCTAGTCGACAGTGTCTTTAATAGACCCAGACCTTGAAGAAGGAAAAAGTGAAAGGAATTACATACACCAGACAGCGTTAAGTGGATAGCTAAAAAAGACAAAGGCTGTATGACTGCTTGACACAGCGGGCTGAACGGAGAAGAAATTATTTGTTATTGTACAGAAAATTCAAACATGAAAAGATCTTATGGCTAAAACTCAGAAGGCGAAGGTGAGACAGTAAGCTCCCCAGCTGATTACAAACTCCAGATCTGCCAAAAATGTTGAAGTGTTATATCTTCAGATTTCATTAGTTCAAATGGCCTGGTTTTCCTGTTTGTAACCGTGATTTGTTGCCATTCTGATATTTGATATCTTTCTACAAAAATCTTAAAGTCCTTTCCCCATATCACTGCTTCTGTATTATGAAAGCAGTCATTTATGTACGGCACTTAAAATTTTTTCATTGTAAAAGTCATAGAATCTCATTATAACAAAGTAGGAAATAGATGAATACATTTCTTATCCCAGTACTTAAGTAACAACAAATATTTATTGCACAGCAGGCGCCAGCACTGTGGAGGTAAACGACCTCTGAATGTTCTGGTTTACTTTTGCAATGGAAAGCTATGTATGCATCAGATTTTGTTTATATTTTTGTGTTTTCTCTTTCTAATTACAGCAAATTTTATACCCTAATCTTTAATGAAATCATTTGCTTATTTAAAAAATAAAAATAAAAAAGACGGAGAAATGAGGATCTTCTGCCTCCCCTCCCATTTCCCCCTGCAATTCACCCCAAAACCATGACAAGGAAAAAAGAAAACAAGAATAGAAACTTAAACTCCACTTTTGGTGAGGCTAAGAGCCATCTGGCAGTCAGGGGCACAAGTGGTCTGAGCCAAGGGGAAGAAAGTTTAACCAAAGCACCTACAGAGAGGGATAACAGGCAGGTCGGTCCATCCTGACACACTCTGGGAAGTCTCCAGTCAGAGTAGCCAGCACTCCTCAAGGGATGGAGAGGCCAATGAGCACAGATAGCATGGTACCCACATCCTGCCTGGCCATGCCTAGGTTAATGCTGGAAACATTGGGCATGGCTTGAATACGGTGTGTCCTCCTGAAACCCATGCTGAACACTGACTGCCACTGTGACAGTGTGTGGAGGTGGGTGCTGTAAGAGATGACTAGTTAAGAAGATTGAGAACTTTCTCAGGGGAGTGAGTTCTTGTTCTTCAAGATCACATTAGTCACCAGGAGGGAGTCGTTATGAAGCCAGGTGGCCCTCCTTAAGTGTGCATGAGCCCTTCTGCTTTTCCCTCACCGGAAACTGAGCAGGTATAGCACCAAATTCTTGGGGCCAAAATAAACCCTTTTCCTTTATATAATTAGCCAGTTTCAGGTATTCTGCTGTAATAACAGAAAAAGACCAAGACAAGATGAATGGAGAAAGCCCGTGCCCCTGTACCATCCCCTCCTCAAGGGAGTGAGGAAGGCAGACTGGGAGTGAGGAGAAAGGTCTAGCCCTGAACAGTGAGGCTCTGAGACACACACCATGCTGTGATGGCCTCTGAGGATGCAGTGCTGAGTGAACTATGTCAGACACAAAGGGCAGACACTATGCCATTCCATTTCTATAGTGGTCTGTGGAGTAGAAACTGGTAAGAGTGGTCATCCATGGGGTAGGGACTGTGTGGCTGGTGTAAAGGGACACATTTCCTTCTGCAGCTCTACAACACTTGCATTTGGGGCCATAGGAGCACATTTTTTTAATAACAAGTGAAATGCAAAGCTCCCACTCTCTTCAAAATTTAATACTATAATATTTAGAACTATTTAATAGTATAATATTTAGAATTTAGTATAATATTCATTTGCAAATACTACACTAAATAACCAAACTTCTTGCAAGTAGATTTCTTTGAAAAACATCAGCAGGTAGGGGCTTGGGTGGCAATTTCTCATTAAAACCCTTCTTGTAACACTTTTTTTGATGTACATATATTACTCTAGTAAGAATAACACAAAGAAATACCAATATAATTCCTTATCTATTACCTCTTTGTTATGCCTTTTAGTCTTTTTTCCTTTTGTACATGGCTTTCTTATTTCTTTCCATTCCCCTCCTTTCATCCCTTCTTACTTTGTAAAACTATGCACATGGCCTATTAAAGCAACTTAGAAAAACCTTAACATACCCAGCACTTTTGTAAGCAAAGAAGGTCTCCGATACCTCAGTGAGGAGGGCATTCTCTCCCACAGCAGCTTTATAACAGTGGCAGAAATGGCTCATTTTGACAGTGTTCATCAGGATTTATACAATCTATGAATCAAATTCTCTGAGTAACTAAGAACAATTCTACTGGTCATTCCTAATGTTGGCGGCACTTACGAATGTTGATGCAGACTTTCCAAAGGTCTCACACATCTCAGTCCCCATAAGACAAGCTGACTGGGAAATGGATGAGGCAGTGATTTCTGACTGGTTCTACAATATAGTATGTTCTGAGTCTCATCACTTTCCTATTAGGTCACACACACACACACACACACACAATTTTCCTCCATCCCAAATCTTTCCAAATCCTGCACATTAAGCATACTGGGCATGCAGCAGGAGAAGGTCTAGGAGGTATCTGGTCTCAGTTTAGAAGCAGCTCTGCCATTGGATAGGGCCCTGTCATTTTCTCAGGGCCTCGGAGAGCATGACTAAACATTACATGTGGAACATCATAGTGTTGCACATATTATTATATGAAACTATATGTTTATCAGGTACCATAAGCATACATATAAATAGGTGTACATATATAATGTTTTCATCTGTGTGAGTAAATTAAGATAGCTAAAACTATAAATGTAGTCTTAAATAAATGAGATATATAAATTTAGACGTGGCCGATTATAATTCGTTTTCCTGCTTTACAGCAGTGTTAAATCAGTTGCGGGGGGCAGGTGTGGTGGTACACACTGTTGATCCCAGCACTTGGGAGGCAGAGGTAGGCAGATCTCTGAGACACTGAGGCCAGCCTGGTCTACATAGTGAGTTCCAGTCAGTTGGGGCTACAGGGAAAACCTACTTCAAAAAGACAAAAACAAACAAACAAACAAACAGCCCAGAACAGAAACAAGAATTGGCACTGGGAGCAGGGGCAGTTAGAATATAAACACTGGCACAAGAGGGATTTCCTGGGACATCATCCGAAGTTCCTCACTCCCAGCTGGGCCCTAGCTCCCTTATTCCAGAACCTCTGGTCTCATAAGAAGATCCATGGCCTATTCTGCCACCCTGGCCTCTACTTTCTCATCCACAGTACAGAGAATATCTTGGCCTAGGTGAGGTAGTCATTCATTTATTCATTCATGTATTCACTCATCGAATATCCATTAAGGCCCAAGCCACACTGGCTTCCTACTCCTGTGGCCCAAGTCTAGGTGCTGGCTGTTCCCACTATGGGATGCTCAGAATCCAATGGTTCTTTCCCTCATACCTTTGAGTTCCTACTACTACCAGGACCATTGGGTAAAGACAGCAGCTCCCTTACCCACACTTGCACCTTCTAGCTCCTAAGCCCTCCATGTACTCTCCCCAGCATCCCTAACCACCACCGCATAAACCCAACATTTATCTGTTAGCCATCACTCTCTCCCACACAGGGCGGGAATGAGATCCTGCATCCTTCTGGTCTTGAAGAATAATACTTCACATGATCAGGTACTTTTTAATGAAGGAATGACTTAAAAACTTTAATGATTCAATTTTAATTCATCTTAACACAGATTTTACTGAAAGACACTAACAAGAAAAGGAAAATTCAGGAGGGATCCCTCGTCACTTCAGAACAGACACTAGGGGAAGTCAGGGCTGGTAGAACCTGGCTCAGTGGGCTTCAGGTCCAGATAATGAACAGTATCCATAATGACATCCTAAGTTAAAGATCAGAAGGACTGTTCAGTGATAAGCAGCAGCCAATATTCCTGAAGAGGGAGATCCCACCACCCTTACTATAGAACTCAGTTCTCATAAGAAGCAGAAGACACTGGAGACCCTTTCTCCTGTCTGTTTTCTGCCCCACCAAGGGACCTGGCTTGGAGGAGGGGCATTTGTGTCTAACCTGTCTTACCTCAACACCCACAGCAATGCTAGGCACACATTAGGCCGTATGTGGCATAATTAATTAGTGAAGGAATGGTAAAATAAAAAGACAGGGAAGCATCTATGCATCAAAAATTTTTGCAAACACAGTGAACTCGAATTCTGGTAGAAGCACTTGTTTTTGTATAGATGGGGATATTTCACTTTTTAAATGCAACTTGATTCTTTCCTTACACAGGCCACTTGAATGGAAAGAAGGAAAGCAGCGATACCTGGGTAAGGAATCTTCCCATAGGTGACTATTTCATACAGGAGAATTCCAAAGGACCACACGTCGGACTTGATAGTGAAGCAGCCAAAGTTGATGGCCTCTGGAGCTGTCCACTTGATAGGGAACTTGGCACCTGAGGAGGAAGATGCATGGCTCTTACTCAGGAATCTGGGCTCAAGCGAAGAGGTCATGGATATGGGACACACTTTTTTCTTTTCCTTTTTTTTTTTTAAGTCAAATAATTTGCTTTGAATAGGTAATATACATACGCAGTCAAAACAGAAATGGTACCAAACGTCATCCAAACATGTCTGCCTCCCTCTCCTGCTTCCCCTTTGGGTCCTCTCTTCCTTAGAAGCAGTTTCTGCTGTAACCTCTTAGGGTATTATAAGTAGCCTAATTTTAAACAAAAAAGAACATGACACAACATAAACACATTTACTCTGTGTGCATGTTTGCCCCTCAAACCAGACTCTAAGCATAGATCTTTGGTGTTCAAACTTCATCTGGAGCTGGGCACCTTGGCATGTACCTGTAGTCTCAGCTACTCAGGAAGCAGAGGCAGAAGGATCTCTTGAGCCCAGGAGTTTAAAACTAACCTGGACAAAAGAGCAAGATCCCATCTCAAAAAAGAACAAAACAAAAAATAAAACAAAGCAACACCTCCCCCAAACCAAAAATAAAAATAAAAATTTAAAACCATATTTTCTTTAATGAGTCCATTTTAAATGTATTGTTTCTCATTTAAATTTACCTATTTAATTTTTGGTGCTGGGGATCAGACTCAGATCCTCATGAGTGCTAAACACAAACTACCACTGAACTATTCCCACAGTCGGAATACAAATATATTTTTGTTTTATTTTGTTTTTCTGAGACAGCATCTCACTATGTAGCCTTGGCTGGCCTGGAACTCTCTATGTAGACCAGGCTGGCCTTGAACTCACAGAGATCCACCTGCCTCTGCTGCAAAAGTTCAGGGACTAAAGGCGTGTGCTATCACACCTGGCTAAGTATCTTTTAATATGCATGCTTTTGTGGACAAATAGTACTAAGCCTATGCCAAAGATAAATTATGTTAAGTGGTCAAGACTGAAAACGTTTATCTACTTAGAATGAGACAGCAAGAGAACAAGGTTTCCATGAGTTGCTGATAAGGTCGAGGGACAAGGGGCAGGTAGATGCTCCAGCATCCTGGAACTGCTGGGGTTCCTACCAACTACTTAAAAACACTGCCTTTTCGATGTCTTTGCTAGAGATTTCTTTGCAGTGCCTTACCAAAATTGGAAGTGTCAATAAAGGCAGTTGTGCAACAGCTGTTGTGCTGGCTGGCATCGCCACCCCCTTCATCAGCCCCTGCATGACCTGGAGCAGAAACACACAGGACGGCCCGCAGGGAGGGAGGGTGGAGGCACAGTGGGTGGCAACTAGGCTCTGGGACAGTCTCGGCTTTGCTGTTTTTGGCTTGGTGTGATCCTAGCGAGACCCTTGGTGTCTTTATGCCTTTCTGGTATTTTTATCTACCCACTGGGGAAATGCAGGAAACTCCACGTACTGCAGTGAGGGCAGGTGGGCCACAGTCTGCATTTGGCACACTGTAAATTCTAAAGGCAGGGAGCACTGTTACCATCTTAAGATAAGCTAGCAGTTGGCTTACTGTTTAACCTGGATACCAAGCTTGTCATGCATATGCCCATGGTGTCTGGAAGGAGTATGGCTATTTTTGTAAGATCTAGGCTTGGCAGTATCAACAAAATGAGTGAAATAAATTCTAGCTCATGTACTCAGAGGCTGGATTCCCTCTTTGAATCCTGGCTCAACCATTTACAGAGGGTGGTTTCAGGAAACTCCGAGTTTTCTCTTCTATAATACACAGCACAGAATGAATGTCAAAGAATCTGCTCTATAGTTAAGCACACACATTTAATTACTTGAGTGAAGATATTCACCTTATAGGACAGACAAAGAATGTTGATTTTTGTTTGATTTCACTTTGTATTACTTTGTTTAACTGAAGCATGGCTGTAAGCGAGGTGGCACACACCTGTAATCCCAGCACTTGGGAGTCTGAGGCAGTAGGATTGAGGGTTTGAAGGCAGCCTGGGCTACATACCAAAACCCTGTCTTGAAACTTGTGCTGTAGCTCAGACATCGAGCACTTGCCTGACATGCATGATACCCTACATTCAATCCCCACTACTGCTCAAAACAAAAAACAGCAAACAACCAAACAAACACCCAAAGCAAGCCCTATCTCAAACTACAACAGCAACAAATAAATAAAATAAAGATAGTACTTATGAACCTTGTATAAATTTCAAGTGCAGTTAACTAAAAGAGCACTTAAAAAATAAATACAATGAACAGATAATTATGAGACAATTATGGTATATCTTGAATAGTATACTAAATGCTTTTTTTTTTCAAAATAATGATTTTTTAAATTTCTTTATTAAAAAATAAAAGAAATAAAAACGAGACACCATGAAAACAAAGATTTCTTGTTATTTAGTTCTTTGAGTTGTTTGTACTTCTAGATTCGTCCGTCAGGTGATCAGCTAGCACAGATTTTCCTCCATCTGCAGGCTGTCTAATCATACATGCAGAGCTGGTTGGAAAGTAGAAACTGTCTACGGGGTGAATGGGAGGGCAAGGGTGAGCAAGGGGAAAGGGATGGAAGCACGAATGGGATGGAAACTGATCAAAGTACATTCTATACTTGCGTGAAAAGGCGCTTATGTGACCAAGAGGGCCGCCAGCACGTACCTTCCCTTGCAGTGTACTCGTTGTCTTCGATGACTCTCGCAAGGCCAAAATCTGCAATCTTGCACATGAGTGACTCAGAGACCAGGACGTTAGCTGCTCGCAGGTCTCGGTGAATATAGTTCTTCCGCTCGATGTACGCCATGCCCTCTGCAATCTGTGAACAGAAATGGGCTCAGGTTTGTACGTGGAGTAGGCTGTTGTGGTGGGCTATCAACAAAAACTTACAAACTGGAGTTCTTGAGAACTTTTCACGTGTATTATTCTAGTTGTTCAAGTTTTAGATAGGGATAAAATCACTGTTTGAAAAGTCCTTTCTAAAACAGATGCCCCAATGAATCTCTAATGATGGCAACTTTAAAACAAATATTTTATTTCTAATTACGTGTGTGTGTGTGTGTGTGTGTGTGTCCATGAATGTACTGCCTTCAGAGGCCAGAAGAGGGCACCAGATCCCCTAGAGCTGGAGGCACAAACCACTGTGAGCCCTCTGATGTGGGTACTGGGAACTGAACTTAAGTCCTCTGTAAGAGCAGTATGTCTTATTAGCTGCTCAACCCCATGGCAACTTAAAATAACAGTACATGTCAACATTTGTTAACGTGTGGACGCTGTCATGCTGATATGCATATGTCATTATCTCTGCCTCTTAATGAGAAAACAAATGCTATGGTCTGGATGTCTTTGTCTCCCAAACTCAGATGCTCTGAGCACTGTCCCTCAGGATGCCCAAGACACACCTGACAACCAAACATGATTGTGGGGAAGAATGGAGGGTTCAGACAGTAACACAGGAGAAGCAATGTGCCCAGCTCCAAAACCACGTTCAAAGATGGCACTGTCAGCTGACACAGTTAGGGGTGAGGAAAGGGGTGAGGACAGGAGAGGGAGAAAAGGGGAAGAAAGAACTGTTCATTTGTAAGAAGTGAGAGGAGAGCCCATCTAATTAGGACTCCTCCAAAGCAGAATGAATCAACTCTAGACTCTGTTGGAGCTCAGCTGGGAGGGCCTGACTTTCCCCAGCAGCATCCTCATCCTTACTTCAAAATGCAAGCCCCATCCGGAATCCAGGAAAGGGACAGCTCCTTAGCACCTGGCCTGCCTTCCACTCAGGAGCCTTCTGATTCCTCTTCTGGAATTTCTCTTCCCCGTCCTACAGTGCAGGTTTGTACAAACACCATTTGCAGTTGGTCACTGGCTGTAGCTTTGCACTTATTTTTATGTTGTTCAGTGTGCTTACTGTTGTCAGGGCAATTAGATGATAAATACATAAGGCAAAAGCCACACATATCTTTTCTAGTCTCACTTGTATCTAGTGGAACCTTTGCTGCTGTTACCTTCATTGCTGCTACCAAACCCCTTCAGAAAATGTGCTGGGGTTTTAATATTAACACCACCAGGAAGCTAGTTGCTAGCACATAGCTGTAGGAATTTGGCAGGTGCCATTTCTGTGGTGACAAAAACCTTGATAGACTAGTCAGTGTGTCCCACATCTACTTCAAAGTCTGGTCAACCCAGAATTGCACTTCTGATGGGCACCAAGGAACACTGTCCAAAGGCTTTAACACTGCTGCCAAGTCCTATAGGACCTGGCTGTGCTTCATCCGCCCACTTCCTGACCGTGACCACAGTTCTGCTCTCTTGGCTTCCACCCTCAGCTTCTATGTGGAGCAATCACTCCCCTCTCACTTGCCCTGTTCACTCTGCAGGTCTCTGCTGAGAGGCCACTCCACCGAAAGCGTAGCGAACACACCACCTTCTCCCAGGACTGGGTCCCCATGGCACCCTGCTCTCCCACCACTCGCCTGTGCATGACTGCTCCAAGAGTGAACTGCATGTGCTTCTGGCAACCAGCTCTGGGAATAGTTCAAAGCACAATGACAGGGGAACCTGTCCTTGTAAGGCATCTTACAAGTGTGACAATTGGTAAGCAGATCAGAAACCAGATGGTGACAAAAGGAAAAGGTGAGGCAGATCTGGACAGCAGTGACTGAGGGCCCTCTGCACTCCCCCACTACCACCTGCCCTTGGCACTTAGGAAATGCGCCAGCCTTATCTGTAAAATATTCAAAATAGCCTTAACCAGGAGCCCACACATAGCGGGTATTAATGAGAGCCAGGGTGAGGACAGAACATGCTAGAATGTGTGACTTCCTGTACAAGGCTCTGCACCCAGACAAGAGGGGCATGGTGTGGAGGCAGAGGGAGTTGGTGGGCCTGCTCATTCTAAAGTGTCATGGCACACCTGAAATGGCAGCGGCTGGAGGGTGGGGGGCAGCACACCAACCTCAACCAGGCTTACTGGAGAGGAACACTAAGGCCGGGGCAAGTAGAGCATGAAGATCAGCACTGGGGGTGCGTAGAACGGGGATATGCTGCTGTAATTTGATGAAACAAATGTTTGGGCTTTGGGAGACAGAGCGAGACATCTTGCAGAAGTGATCCCAAACTGGTTCCAGAGCCCAGAGGTGACACAAACAGCTTGAGGGGGCATTACTGACACTGTCTGAGCCCTTTTGAAATCTTGTGTCTCAGATACTTACCCAGCTAACATACCAATCATTATCTAGAAACTGGGCCAGGAACCCAAAGAAACTAAAGCTGGCTGAAATCCCAGCTTTGGCCCGAACTGCAGTTAACCAGCAACCTGTGTGAGGCACATGTATGTGGTGGTGCAGACAAGGCCTCCACGTGTGGCAGCATGGGCTCAGACCACATTCATGCTTGGCGATAGGTTTCCATGGTTGGCTCATTCTAAGAGCATTCCAGGAGCCTGCTAGGAAGGCTCTTCCTGCACCTGCATAAGTCTGAATGCATTTTTAAAAGTGATTCTCTGAAACAGTAACAGTCTTAAACAAATCTTGTTTACTTTGGCTTTCTATTCCCACCCCCTGCCAGGGTGCTTTATGGAGCTCAGCTTCCAAACAATAATAAGAGTATTATCGTGACAAGATTGCAAACAATAGCTCTAGCTGAGTTGAGTAAATAATAGATACGGTAGCAAAATGAAGGCCACGGATTTGTCTATCAAACACAATGATCACAACTCTCCTCTTATGTAAAACTAGTTCCTTTTCTTTATCCCCATCTGTACTACGCTGTACTTTCTTGGCTTCTTTTTTAAAAACCTTAATTTTTTTTCTCTTGTATTTACTTTGGCTGAAACAAATCTGGCTGTATTTCATAATAGGTGGAAGAAACCAGAGCCGGCTCCAGCTAGTCGAGTCTAGGATGGACCTTCATTCACTGGAAACCTTCTTCCTCCCTCAGGCCCACTTAACATTCATCACTGCAGAAAGAACTGTCATATAAATACATCAAACCAAGGCCCTGCTGACCCTGGAGACCCTAGGAAGGAAGGGCGCAAGCCTCCCAGTCCTTACATTCCCCAAATTCAGAAAGCTGCTGGTGTGGCAGTTATTTGGAGACTGTTAAGTCTAGTGAGAAAAGGATCTGTTTATTTAGGAGATGGTTTCCCTGTTGTGTTTAGATACTTTACTATAATGATGATGGTAGGTAATTAGGTAGATAGACACCAATAACCACTACTTTTCCCTAATTAAGCACTGATTGTGTTTTATATCCTTTATTAGCTAATTCATGCTCCACCTTAATTATAAATGCCTTCACTGGCAGATTTTACCTTCACTGAGCAGATGCAAGTGAGGCTTAGAGAAGCTAAAGATCTTACAAAAAACCAGAGGGAGCCAGGATTACAGAAGGTGCATCTGACCTCACAGTTCAGCTCCAGAATGTGCAGTTCAGTACTAATTGATAACTAGATAGGCAACTAGAGGCTTCTGATGCCCAGAGTGTTCATGGAGATAAAACTTAACTGAAAACGGAAGAAAAAACTTAAATTTCCTGCCAGAATTCATTCAGAAAGAGGTAAAATTCTCCCCAGGCAAGTTCAGGATACCGGTCTCAGGAAGCACACAGAAACCTTGGTTTGTGTTGTCTCTGCCTAGAATATTATTTCTCATCCCCCTCCATTAATCATTCCCTTAGCAAGAAAATTTCAATTAGATTTTAACTTTAAAGTAAAATGGGAGCAGAGGGCATAGTCAACAGGCAGAGCCTTTGTCTGGCATGAGCTCAGTTTCTAGCACTGCAAAGATGATAATGAAATAATTCTAGAAGTTAGTTTATTCTTAATGAGAGAATTTAAATATAAAGGAATATGATTATATTAGGTAAGTTTAAACTCTGCAGAGCAGGACAAAAACTATTTTATTATAGCTAAACCCCAAAGAGCCAGTTTTTGCTGTCTTGGGGAAGATGGTTGGAATGTGTGCCCCCAAATTCATACTGAACTGCAAACTCCAAAGCAACAGTGTTTAGGAAGTGACAGGGTCATAAGGCTCCTCTGTCAGGAATGGGATCAAGGCCTTCAGGAAAGATACATCACAGGGCCCCCTTGTTTGCGCTTTTGCCTTCTGCCTTATGAGCACCCAGCAGGGTGATCTTCCCAAGCTGAATGCAAGCACCTTGATCTTGAATTCCCAACCTCCAAAACTATGACAAATAAATTGCTTTTCTTTATAAATTACCCAGTTTATGGTATTTTGTTATAGCAGCACTAACAGACTAAGAACATGGTCTAGAAAAAGCTAAATGGAACAAAGATAGTGTAAATCAATGCTCTATGAAAAAATATAGATCATAAGGTATTATTAGCTAAAATGGGGTCAGAAAGAAAACAAGTAGGCAAAATTTAGCAAGGAAATACCCATTCATCCAGATATCCCTTTGTATCATAAAAAAAGAAATAGCTGTCCTTTCCTGTGGAACTTTGATAAGGCCAAAAGGAAATTACTTACTCAGAGTCATGCCATGGGTTCATGCTACAGTTTGGAGGGGAATTTAATTTCCCTTCAGTGCTTTATGGAGCTAAACTGCCAACCTTTAAGCTAGCATTGGTTAACTTTGGCTGTGTGTGGAAATCATAGGGGGAAATTTTAACACATTGTCATTCTCTGACCTTAACCAACTAAGTTTAAATTGACAAAGGTGGGTCCTCCCCAAGGGATCCTGATGGGCAACCCAGGTTGAGAGCCTCTCATGGTAGGAAGTGTGGTTCTGAACCAGCATGTTCAATTTGAGAAGCACAATACTAGATTGCATGTTTGGAGTCTTAGGCTATTTCAGGATTCAATT